GTTCGCCCTCGTTCGACCCGCCCTCGCTCGCCCCGCCCTCGCCCCGCCCCGCTCTCGCTCTCGCTCACCTGGGAAGTTCGTCTCCGCGGGGAAGTAGTAGTCGTTCCACTCGGCGTGCAGCACGGGCAGGTCCGGCGGCAGGTACAGCCGCTTCTTGTCCGACATGCAGAACTTCGGCTTGCGCCGGTACGGGTCCGGCGGCTGGCCGTGGTACGTCACGTTGCCGACGACGAAGTCGTCGAGACGCAATATCGTCACGCTCGACATGAGCCGCAGCGGCGGCTGCTTCCCCGGCGCCGTCTGCGCCACCTGGCGGGGGGAGAGAAACAAGAGTGCGTCGCTGAGAACGATCGGCGCCACCTGGTGGTGGGCGAGGGGGAGGAGGCGGACGCTGTTTCGGTCGGGGGGGGGGGATATGACAAAACGTAAACGTGAAACGTCCGCGCGCCGACGGTAACAGAACGATAACGATAATGGCTACTCTCTTCTGTATACGAAGAACTAGAAACCATGCTTCTGCTTCTAATGCTCGACCATCAACTACGAATCTATAATGTAATGAAAATCAACTAATCTCTCTCGCTCGCTATGACGATTTCCATACGCAAAAATCGTGGGTAACATGTGCAGTAAATGATAAGGTGTACAATCGCTACTACGTATCCGCGTCTGCCGCGACCGTGACAACGCAAACCAACCAAACTCTCTCTCTCTCACTGCCGAGTAGCTAACTCTACGAGGCTACCTCTACACAAGCAACGCCCGGGGGAACACTGTTAGTTACACTCGTAGGGTCTATGTCCCCCTGACCTCTGTTTGACCTGGCTCGTTTAGCTATTTCTGACTAACCCTAACCCTATCCCTAACCCTAACCCTATATATATTATATATTATATATATAAGTCAGAAATAGCTACACGAGCCAGGTCAAACAGAGGTCAGGGGGACATAGACCTTATCTGCATTAGTTACACGGCATCATCGCACAGCCACAGCCAAACGAAAAACTACCAACATAACCGATCAACGTAACGCTGAAACAGAAAGAGAGCGAACATTCCGGAAGAGGCGACCGGAAAGAAAGAGAGCAAACATTCCGGAAGAAGCGACCGGAAACAGAGAGAGCGAACATTCCGGAAGAGGCGACCGGAAAGAAAGAGAGCAAACATTCCGGAAGAAGCGA